ATCTTCAGTCAGTAAGGAAAGACTATATTGCAGTAACCAACTGTACCTAGAGTCGAAGCAAGACTACAAAGGTTAAGTAAGTAACTACAAGTTAGAGATAAAGGTAACGAAGTACTCACTCTTCAGTCAGTAAGGAAAGACTGAAGAGGGAGGACACAATCTGAAGTCCTTCCATACTACAGAGAAGTGTCCATGACTAATCGAAGAGTGGTTAGTCACATGTACCATAGTGCGATGAATAATACAATGACAAAAGAATTGCGACGTATTGCACTATAGGATGAGTAAGAGATGAGTAAGGCATAGACCTGTCTAGACCATTCTGGAGTAGTACAGATTGTCCTAGACAGTACCAGAAGAGTCCGGAAGCATAGCTATAGTACACGAGCAGAGAGTCCCAAATATGGTAACATACTACATAAGCGACTACAGCTAAGCGCTAGGAGACGCATAGCCTCGTGTAGTCCGGACCGGATAAGTCCAAGTTCAACACACAGAGCTGAAGAACGTATCAGGTAGTCATCCCAATCCCAGAGGCAAAGTCTAGGAGGATCATATTATACTAAGATTGACCCAGAGCACAATGTGGGGCTATGTCACAGCGTGATATCGCACGTGCCCTCCGCCAAAGTGACAACCTCGCCGGCGCTCAGCGACGATTTGGCATGGAATTGGCAGGGAGGTCGATGCGTATTTCTGTATAGGCTCGATCCCCTCCCCACAAACGGAAAATCGAAAACCGTAAGTTTGTATAAAGGGCACTCCGCAACAAAGTTACGGTCGCCATTTTGTCAATTGGGCTCCCCTCGTCGAGCCTATGCAGATTTCGCACTTTTCCCCGCCAAAGCGTGATAGGAATGGCACATGATGCCCCACATTGTGCTCTGGGCCAATCTTACATATCCGTATCTTGTACTAGAATGATGTCGCGTATATGTCTGATAGCAACTGTCCCATCGCATGCACCAGACGATAGCGTCATTCCGTCAGGGGAGAAAGCTACGTGTCTGACGTCGGCTCTGTGCTCGAAGAGTGTCTCTACGCACGATCCATCGTCTATGCTCCACAGCCATACGGTCTGGTCAGATGATGCGGACGCAATGTACTTCCCGCACGGAGAGAAGCAGGCTTTGTTGACTCCGCAGGTATGTCCTTCGAGCGACAGAATCAGAGCGCCGCTGAATGCGTCCCAGATCTTCACTGTGCCGTCACTCGATGCCGACAGTATGCGTATCCCATCAGATGAGAACGTTATGTGGGTTACAGCATGGGCATGCTGTTCCAAGGTGAAGAGGCTCTCTCCCGTCTGCACATCCCAGATTCGGACGAGATCCATGGAATCTCCGATGGCGAGGTGCGTGCTCTGAGGATTGAATGCCACGGTGAACTTCCAGGTAGAGCGAAGTCCTCCCCAATACATGTGGTGCACTGTGCTGGCACCAACATCCCATACACAGCAGCTATTGTAGCTTATCGAGGCAAGCCACCGTCCATCATGGGAGAAACAGACATTGTCCAGAGAGTCCGTCTCGGGAGGCGACTTCAGCCGATGAAGCAGCTGGAATGTCCGAGCGTCCCAGAGCAGAACAGTCTTGTCGCCGGATCCTGCCGCGATCAGAGTCCCGTCGGGTGACCAGGCACAGCTAACGACTAATCCGGTGTGCCCTTCGAGGATCATAGCCTTTGGCGCACCTTGCCCGGGCATGACATTCCATACCGCGTGTTCCCGGCGGAAACCGACGGATGCAAGATGTCGGCTGTCAGGAGAGAATGCGATTGACCACACCTCTCCGGCATGGGCGACCCACTCCTGGACAAGTTGCCCTTCTGAATCCCAAAGGATGATAGTGCAGTCCTCAGATCCAGTCGCCAGCCACTTGCCGTCTGGGGAGTATGCGAGGCACTTGACGGGAGCTTCATGGCAGATGTCCATTGCTGGGCAGACAGTGAGCTCACTTTGGACAACTGTCGTACATTACAGCAATCCTAACCTTGTTGCGACACAATTTTGAGCAGCGCACGATTCCAGATGTTGGGAAAAAGCTTGTTCATCTTGTGGGACCAGAGGTTGGTCCGGCGGGGAGGAATGGGTAGCCCACTCTCAACGACAATACCGGGATGAGGAAAGGTGAGGAGAACCCGATCCAGCTGTGCGCATAGACGAGAGTTCTCTGCATCACCGCCTAAGTGTTTTAAGACGTTGTAGGGAGGCCAGTGAAGAGCTACAGTAACATCTGCCAAGCCATCCGGATAGATGTCTTGCAGTGTCTCGATAAGCATCTTCATAATGTGCTGGGGGACGGTCCATAGCCTGAACGCTAGGACACGGAGCTTCGGCCAATCCATTCCTGAGGACCGTGTATGTCAAGTATCTTTGATATGGCATAGAATAACTGTCAGATGAACCACGAATGTGTTTACCTCGGGGTAGGCGTATGATATGTCCAAATCCAGATGCCACCAGGGTCAAGTTCTCCATCGTCGAGGCCACCAATCCCAGTAACAGCCTTGCCATCACCTCGTTTGAGTCGTTGTCTATCTGCACACAACAAAAAGCAGTGTATAAGCTACCGTTATGCCGAGCAGGACTGGACGGCATTCACCTCGAGCGTGCTTAGACGTAATCGTTGAGACATGCGCTGTTTGATCTGCGCTAGCTATGCGCTGGTACACGTTGTGCTTCGGGCACTCAACCGTTTGCAGGATAATGTTCTGAGGCCAGTGAACGCTAGCAGCATTCGGCAGAACTCTTGCGGATTCGGAAAGGATAGACGGACGAGTCTGAGAGTTTCGATGCGTGTTCCCATCGTCCGGTAGCATGCCAGCACCGATCGAGGAAGACTGCAGACCCGCGGCGGACTTCCTCTCCGAATGCTATAATCGAGCATCGTCATCTGGGTAACATTTGGGAGGAGGTAGCGCAAGTGGAAGGCCAGATAAGTAGGGTCACCCATGCTGATTGACCGTACAAAGGGGCGAAACTGGGGTTGGGTGCAGAGGAAGTCACGGAAAGCGAAGATTTTCTCTGACCTCGAAAATGTCACGTCAGCAACCATGAGCCAGAGGCTATAAGGGCGGAGTTGTTTGCAAGTAAGGGACAAGCTGCAAAGAGTCCTCCAGTAGTCGCCAGAGTGGCCGATGATCCTTTCGATGACCTCCCAGGGGAGGCGAGGTGAGGCAGACATGGTGGTCGAGTCAAGGGTGCCGTTCCTCAAGTTCGACAGATGCTAGCAGGACTCGGGGGCACTGTATGTGGACATCGCCTCATATCAATGATAAACGCTTGTCCGGTGCTTTCTGGAGACATGGCGACCTTATTCTTTACAATATTCGGATCCCACATAGACGTTCACATGTGGCATGAGCGACCTTTGCTAATACCATGAGCCTGTCGGTTTGAAATTGTGCGCTCCCTGATGATCGAGTCCAAAGTTCCCGCGAAGATAGTCATGGTCCCAAAACCACGCCCCCTCACGGGAGACTGGACTGACGTAGACAGGACATGTGACGACAGGAGGCTACTGCTCGCCATCCCTCATCTTCGAGGCCAGCTCAAGCTTACATCGATGTCCATGATGCACCAAACTCAAGACAGATTACGACGTGGCGACAACATACATCGGGATACGGATGGCCGCGCTTTGCAGGGGCCGACAGCAGGCCATCAGAGGTCGTAGCGAGCTCCACGCTCGCTAGAGTGCTGCCTCCAAAGCACCTTCCGGGGCCCATCTTGTACACGCCCAAAACGCCCCCCCCTCCGTTTGTGTGGTTGCGCGTTTCAAGGCCAGCCCTGGTCTCCATCACTGATTGCATTGGGAGCTCGCTGTCTCCGGTCGGCAACATCGAACATGGGCAATACACCAGTCATGATTCAACATTGCGCGAGACGCCAAATGAGAAGAATGCTTCAGAGCATCCGCATTGAAAGTGATAAGCACCAATTCCCGGGCACTTCAGCAAATGGAACGACACGTGGCCGATCGTCCAGTTCCGATCCGAGTTTCAGCACTACAACAATTGGCTCGCGAGCGTGTCGCGCGCGATGCGAACCCGTGTCTCATAACGGTACTCAAGGACAGAACGAGGTCTGCGATATCGCGCCAACTGCTGCAGAGACGCGGGACGTCAACCATGCTCATGCTGGATCCAGATAGCTGACCGCACACTGACAGCGGAAGCACTGCCTCGGGTGTGGTCCACGTTTATGGTCTCCATTCCACCTTGCTTGCTTCGATGTTCAGCGGAGCCTGGCTGAAGCCTTGTGACGCGGCCTGGAGCGAGCGCCGTCTGTTGAGATCACGTCTGGAGAGAAGAGCGGCCAATGTCGTCCTTCCGTGCCTACGAATAAATCAATCAAATTGGCGTCTGCGGGTTGCACTGTAGATCCGAGGCACTTGCAGGCGGTCGGGGCATCGTGCGGGGCTTCCCAGAAATCCAAGTACCACACGAGTACTGATCATCGGTATGGAAAGGCGTGGCGTCCACCGGAAAGGAGGGCGTCGGCGCAGTGAGAGTGGCAAGGAGCGCGGCCTGTGATCCGACTTGGAATATGTATCAAGTGACAACAAGAGAGGATGCACATCCTGCGTTGTATCAATGCTCGGATCGTCATTGACCAATGGAGATGCTCCCGATCCGGGACGGGGTAAACCGGCTACCTCTGCACGACACACTGTCGCTCCAGGGACCAACATTAGCTTGGTGCGGCGGCTCTGATTGGAGTCGCAATCTAAAGCACTCACATGAGCAATGTCTGGACCGCATGCGCGCCTTCATGATACGCGAACCATCGCTGTATCGCTGTGGACGCACTGGTAAGTGCGGGTGTCTGCGGCATAGATCGAGAGTCAGAACTTTCGGCGGAAAGCTGAGATCTCGCTGGGATGAACGTCAAGCAGTTGCACGATGAACAAGAATTCCGCCAGCGGAGCGCGGTGTGAAGCATGAAGACAATCGTCGACGGACAGTCAAGAAGACCAACGTCTTCTATGAACAATCCTTGGCAATCAATGAATTACTCTCTCCAGAACTGTCTGTGTGCCGCAGAGTTTCGCAGTGTACTGCCAGCGCATGCATCACGGCAGGAAGGAAACCGAGAGCGGGGGATCATGAGCCGTACATCCGCTTGCCCAGTACGCCAAGCGGAGAGACGAGTCGTACCGAAGTAGTGACATTGTGCAGAATCACGAGCTAGATTGAGTGGTCAGGCTTATATACATTGTGAAAAACCTGTGGAGACGATCAGTCTAGGACATGGGTTCTGTACAAGGACGATAATGTACTCACCGAGGACTCTCATATCCATTTCTTGCTACACCTATGATGGTCCTTCACCTCAAAGCGCGATGAGACTAGCCGCTTGCTTCCCCACAGTAGCGTGAAAAACGGAGAGGCGTCGTCAATAAGGGGGTAAGAATTCAGGAAAGAGAAGGCCAGCGTCAGCAGAGTGGGGATGCGGCCCGGGTGCTCCGCAGCAGCCCGCGAACTTCGTGTGTCGGAATCCTGGATGTCCTCCCGGATGTCCTCCGGCCGGTAGTACCCTCTCGATTCGGGTCGATTTTGGGTGTATGAGGTCGTGTCCAAGTGTATGTATATACATAGTATACTATATAGTCCTGCTGTGTCGATTCAGGTCGGACAGGCTGTTCCAGCGCCCATTTGACGTCTCTAAGTTACTACAGAGGGAACCGGTTCCCGGGCCAGCCAACCCAGATAACGCGACGCACGACATGCTCATTTTTGTCGACATCTGCAACACATCCCCTGTCGAATTGCAGACGGGCTCAAAGTTGTCGCTCCCACTCCGCCGACATGAAGGCAGTCTTTGCCATAGGAAGCCCTCTTTTCCTCACCAATGGGTACTGGCAGAGGGATTACCTGAATCTTTGATAAGCCCCCTTTCCCCCGCATATGCCTCAGATCTGCGGCGCAAAACCTGCAGGACGCCAACGTTCCTGGTGTATCTAAAATCACGTTGCAGGGCTTTAGCCAGGCTCCGCTGAACATTCGAGCAAGCAAGCCAGAATGGTGACCATGAACGCGGACCAGATCCGAGAACATGCTTCTCGACGTTCACGACACTTCCGCTGTGGGTGCACTGCCAACTAACTGGAATCGGCGTGAACACGGTTGACGCCCTGCGTTTCTGACAGTTGGAGACACATCACAGACCTCATTCTACCCCTGATCACCGGTAAACGAGACCGTTTCGCACTGTGCGCGACACGCTTGCGCGTCGATGTGTATCTTATCAGGACCAGCTGTCTCAGTACAGCCGTGTGCGGAGGTATCGGGGTCATCGATTTCCTCTACAAAGTACTTTGATTGGACAGACCGGACGGTCGACCACGTGTCGTCCTGTGTGCTCCAGTGCCCAGTGTCCAGGAGTCGGTGGGCTGCATCGTACGTCCGAGCATGTGAGTACGTCCTTGTCACTCTGAATGCGGATGCTCTGAATCGTTTGTCTCAATCGACAGTCTCGCGCAATGTAGATTCATGGCTGGCGTCTTGCCCAACTCCAAGATTCTACAAATCCGAGTTTCTAGACGGGAAACGGCTAGCTTCAACGCGAGCAGGACGCGTTATATAACACGGAGGAAGACTACGAGGCGTGCTTAGGAAGCTGTGAGAGGGAAGGTGCTGGAGACCAGGGTCCGCCTTGAATCGTGCAACATAGAAACGGAGGGGAGCATTGTACGCATCATGCGTACACGACGGCTTGGGAAGGTGCAGCGGGGAGCGAGCACTTTGGCAAACGTGGAACTCGGTACGGCTTTCAACGACCTGAGTATGCCCCTGCGAGAGCCAAGCGATCTGGTATCTATGTATGCTGTTGCCGCGTCGTAGCACATCTTACATTTGGTGCGTCGTGGACATCAGCGTAAGCTAAGTGGCCCGACCTCAAAGACGGGGGTTAACGACTGGTGCCCCCCACCCTCGTGTGCCCTGTCTCATTGCATCCAGTTGCCCCTACGAGGGCCTATTGCTGGGATATTGACTAATTTGAGGACACTTTGGAATCTATCTTCAAGGAGCGTACTTATTCAGACCGACAGGCTCATGGTGTTGGCAACGAGTGCTTATGCCACACAGTTCTTCGATGGCACACACCCCAGGCAGGGCCCTGACGCACCCATGTGACTAGTTATGTAGCCATGGGAAAACACCCTTAGAGACTGGCCGGCACACTGTTTCCTCGACCGTTTTCGCCATTGAATGTTTGCCCATACGTTTTTGTGAACATTGCAGAGTACTTATAACACATAACGTGTTCGTTAGTGTCATATATGGTTTGAAGTGTACGTTCACTGTTTCATATGTTCTAATTTCTTATACTGTTCACGGACTCGTAGGTCGTATGTTTTTGATCTAGCTTTGATGTATCGGTGACAAGACCCATCGTTGGTGACAAGACCCATCGTTGGAGTCCACAGTCTGTGCAAGCGGATATACATTACAAAAATGAGACATGCTACAAGAGTGACGAGATGCGGATACAACACTACTACAACTGCCACGAGATGTGGATACGACGCGACTACAACAGCCAAGGCATCACCAGCCATGCAAACACGGCGATGCTGGTGACTCAGTACTCGTGAGGCCTAACAAAGTCCAAATGGTCGTCACTGGCGTGGTCCACACTCCCGACAACGTTCATGCCACTGCCGACACCATTCTGAGAGGTAACGCTCTGGCCTCGATGAGCGAACTGTTGCCTACGACCATCCGGCTCGAAGGAACGGCTGTCATGCAGGGGGTATTCGTGCCCTGGCACACGCTCGCGGTCGTCAGGTGGGAAGTAACCGCGCTCGACACACTCACGGCCATCGGGACGGTTCCAGCGCCCATCATGCCAGCCTCGACTGTCAAGACGACTGTACCGGGAGCCTTCAGGAGCATTGTACCATTCTCGGCTTTCGGGGCCCCTCTGTCATCGTCCATCCCATCCCGAGTTGTCATAGCCAGCGTAGTCACCACTATTAGGGTGGAAGTATGGGCGATCATATCGACCACTATCAGGATGATCGTGCCACCGGTCCGCTGGAACTTCGTACGGACCATCGTCCAAGGGATTGTATTCGTGGCCATCAGGGCGAAAGCGCTGATGATCATCCCGGTGAATGTTCGAGCGGCTATCAGGAAGAGAGCATTGACGATTGTCTCGTTGGACATTCAAGCGGACCTCGTGCAAGTGGTCTTCAGTGGGTACATTTGAGTCACCGTCCACCAGTAGGAGTGAGCCACCGCGTCCATCAGGAACCGCACGCTGGGTCTCCGACTGCGTCGCTGCAAGCTGAACTTGCTCTGAACGCGCACACTTGTTCGGTCTATCTGCACTCGACGGCTTGTTTGTCTGCTGGGAATATATCATGTCAGCATGTCCCAAAGAGCCATAGTGAAGTGCGCCTCTTTGTATACCTCAAAGCCAATGCGAGCGGGCTTTCCCTTGCCTTTCAGATTGAATGCGACGGGATCATCACGAGTGGTCGACAGCGCCCTCTTCTTCTTCTGTGGGCTGGGTTGGATTTTGCTTGGACATTTTGGGGGCCGCGTAGGCTCCGCGTTCCGTTCCGCCCCAGAGTCTGAGCTAACCATGATCTTGGACAGGCCGGATGGACCAGTGACTGGCTCTGACCTGATAGGCGTCGTAGCTATACGCACGGGAACTGGACGGAACCCGTCACCCTTCGTCTTCTCTCGCTTCGCGTCAGGCATGGACGAGCCCTTATCGGATTGCATCTTGAACAGTCGCGCAACCTTCCTCTTCAGGGAGACTTTGCTACTCTTGCTGTCAGTGTCGTCAGTGTCGTCAGAGTCGGCATCTGAGATGTCAGAGGAGTCAGAGGACTCCTCCATGTCATCCTCTCCATTCTCATCGCCGGCAATCACGTCACTGCTGACATCCTTGCCATGGTCCCGAGGGGGAGGAAGGCGACTCGGGCCCCAGCGGTCCACACGACCGTCGGCAAAGAGACGGCAACCACGGACATGATCAGAATCACAGCTAGGAGGTGCGCCCAAGACAATTGGCTCGATGCTCGTCTCAAGATCTGGCGGGATTGTCAATCAATTACGAGAAGGAAACCACTAACGTGTCTCGTAGATCAGCTTACCAATCGCTTCGCCGTGATACACCGTGAAGTGAAGCGGGTACTTCGGATCCTTGTTTGCCCTGTACAGCCAGTAGAGGTTTTCTTGCGACAAAGACTGCATGCTTTCCCCCCTCCTCTTGGACGCTTTCTCCTTTTTGAACCCCTTGCGTACAGAGATGGGCGGCAGAGGAACACCTTCAGGGAAATGGCGCCACTGGATCCCCAACGGCGCCAACTTGGAGCCAGTCAGTCTCCATGGAACCGTCTTCCAGGCAATCTTGCCTTTGCCAGGAATGTCCAAGTTGTCTATCGTACGTTATCTATGTCAGCAAGTGGGAGTTGCGCGTACAAAACCACACATAGGCGACATACTCAAGAGCAAGAGTAAGGCTTCTGTGACCCAACGGCTCAGCTCCGGCTTCCTCTCCGGATTTTCGCGTTCAAGCTCTTCACGACGCGCTTCAAGGCCGGTCGGCTTCTTCAATGCTCCTGAAGGCTCCGGAGCCAGAGCCTTTGTCGGGATGCTGCCCGCAAGCGGCTGGTTCTGAGTCGAGGCCCGTACTGTCCGGTTTCGAGAGCGCTCGGCGTCGAACGTCATCGAGACAACATCCATGGACGCCGTGTTGCTGAACATAGAACAATCAAGATTGGTACTAGAGCTATTCGCATGCACTCACAAAACCTGCACCTTGAAATGCGATAAGATAGTGTTTGGGTTTGCCCGACACCGACTCTCGAAGAACTTTGAATCTGGTCAGTGTCCAAGTACCGTTTCTAGGGAGTGTGGTTGATGACTTACACCAGTAGCAAGCTTCGACTCGTATACAGCACCCAATCCACCGTCCGAGTTCGGAATGCTCCCGGCGCAGACAAAAGCGGCCCTAAAGCCATGCAAAGACTCAAAGGCGTCGATCTGCGTAATGCGGCACCTGTCACAGCCAACGAGCTGTGCCACCAAAACAAACAAGGGCAAAGCTTACTGATGCAGAGGTTGGTGCTGAGAAGCGAAGCAACCAGAGGTGACACAGCAAGAGATGTGAAGAGATGTATTCCCTAGACTAGAAGGGGTAGTGAGGGAGGTAGGGCTGCTAGCTACCTACAGAGGAGATGGGGAATCGACGAGAAGATCAAGTCTGAGGTTCCCTGCCTCAGACTCCCTACTATATATACTAATACAACGGTGCACAGACCAGGTACCTA